CAGTTCTTAGCAACCACGTTTCTTCAAAGACACAGGAATGTCATCATCATTTTCACTGTTTATTAATAAAAAGTGTTTTAGTAATATTTAATAATTTCCAGCTGTCATATCCATTTTCTAGCCTGGCTGAAATCCAGTCCCGTTTTTATTCTTCAGTTAAATTACACCATGTTGCTTCAGATAACAGGTCGTCGGTGGGTTCAGACTCTTTCTCGTGGGAAAGAAGGAAATGGCGCTGCATTTACAGCTTTACTACCTGTTAAAACTGATACATTGGAGAGGGTGGCACAGAGAGGAGACACTTCCCACGTTCCCACGCGCATTTGCCGACGATTGAGATGTAAATGAATCACAGACTGGAAGTTCTGCCCCGTGGTATGAACAACTCTTTAAACTGTTGCAATTAAATGATCGGACAGCGTTGCGCAAAACATTTTTACGCACGCTTAAGATACCACATTCTTTTTATACAGTCAACAGTGACTCTTGGGCCTAACAGCGATTTCCATTCTCAATTAAATATCAAATAAAACGCGCAATACATTTTGTCCCTTAATATTGATGTCAATGCCGGAAAATATGGCATTGCGCACGAGAATGGCAACTTTTACGCATGGCTTTATCTCCTTATCAGCTTTATTTAGTTAGCTCAAATTGAACTATAATTCTTACATATAGCCTGCCTATACCCTTACAGACACAATACTCATAATATATTATTATAATTATACGTAAATCGACATTAGGTGTCAAAATAAATGGTTAATTAAGGTTAATTAGGTATAAATGTAAGGGTGTATTTAGTTTCCCTGAATGCGTTGACCGCCTGTATGTTGTAGTATTTCAAAGTGAGGATTAAGCTTGTTCCATGTGTGATATTGCGTGAAACGTCACCGCATGGTGCCTTTATCCTCCTGTGTGGCAGCTCTACTCCACACTTATGCTCCTCAAGACACGTGCCCGAAAACAATCAATGAACACATACGCATCGTTTACTGATTTTTCCTTTTGTTTATTTACAAATGACAAATAGAATAAATTAAGGTGCAAAAATACATCATAAATGACACAATTAACACGAGTTGGCCTGTAAAGGCTGTAGCAGCATGTGTGATCATAATACATTTACAATATCTACAAATTTATCAGACTTTACAAAAAAGCAAGAGGCCCGTGTTCAATACATTGCACTGAGAATGTCCTTGTAGAAAGTCAAATGAACAACACATGCTGTTGTAGGAATATTAGTCAGCATGTTAGAGTCAATAAAAGTTCAGTTTCTGCAGTCACTGCGTGGTGATCAGGGCCAGGGCCTCCACAGTGACTGGCTGACCGGCTGCCTCTGGGACGGGCTCTGTTTACTCGCTCGACTCGCCACTTTGTGGGTCTGCTGGGGAGTCGTGGGAGGAGAGCGAGGTGATTCTACGCGGGTCTGAACACAACTGGCCGCGGTGAGGGCAGGCGTGCACAGTTTGTGTGCGGACCTGTTTAACAGCAACTGAAGAATGGACCTGGAGGACTTTCTGAGACTCAGAGAGCTGGAGGAGGAATGGGCTTCATTTCTTCTTTGGACGCCTGTGGAATCAGAGTCTGAACGGGAGAAGCGAGCTGCAAAAGACGCATCCAGTGCTGCTCCAAGCCACAGGTGCTTCCCTTCGGGTCCCAGGAACTGAGTAGCTCTCTGCAGGCAAGTTGAGAAACCGTCTTGGAAGGAGTGTATTTGGCCTCCTCCTCCTCCTCCTCCACCACCTACTTCAGCTCTCGTCTTGTCTCCTGTGACAGTGTTCTGGAGGAAGAGGACTGTGTGCTCAAGTATCTCAGCTTTCTCCACTCTGCGCTGAGTCGCTTCCTAGGACAGAAACAAAGATTTAATAAACGGTTTCTCAGACTCAATAAAAGGCCTTTAATCTTGGAGGTAACCTGATCACCAGAGCTATGTGGCTTTTACCTGTCGCTGTAGTAAAAGCGTCTTTAGGCTCTCCAGACTGCGGTTCATTCTCTCTCTTCGACGTCTCTCCACCTGAGGTTTGAGGCTCTACGAGACAGAAACGAGAAAATAAAAAATAAAATTAATGATTGAAATTAGAAATGTTTATACACGGAGTAATGTGCATCTCGTGTATAACAGATCCTGTGATTTACTACAAAATTATCTGTGATATTCAATGAAAGCATAAATGATACAAGTACCTTCCTTTGTGCCTTTGCGTCCTCTGAATTCTGCAGCAATTTCATGGTTGTATTCCAAGAACTATCCAAGGGTAACAGCAGATCTATCGGTCTTTCCGTCACAGCTGAATGTGCCCTCTCAGGCTTCAGTGAGGGCTTTTAAGCCATAGGTGGGCGTAACTTTAGGCTCCACCCACCACAGACCTGTTTTTACTCTAGGTTTTACTCCATGCTGAAACTACTAAACTCAGTTACCAAATTGTTAATGTCTGTGAAATATGCAACTCCTAATTTGTTGTGAATCACTTTTTCTGCAGTTTGAGTCTCCTCCAGTTTAAAAGTTAAGAGTTGACCATATCAGTGGAAATTAATCAGTGGAATTATGAATGTTTAAACGTTAAAATAAGTTAGAAATGTAATATATATTCTAAGATATATTATTTATTTTCTACTTCACTTTGTTCTTTATTAATTATCTCTTTTTAACACATCTTGACCAGAAAATGAATGCAGAGTGAACGATGCGCCTAAAGAGCCTTCACTAGTGTGGAGGCACGTGTAGCTGCCCACAGAACGGCACGCGCCTGTGAAAGGTGTTACCGGCTCGTGTGAGAATTATTTACACATGTAAGGGAAAAGCAACAGACATCCGCCAAAACAGCGTGACGCTCAGACAAATGACCGTGGGTGACTTCTCACACCGTTATTACTGACGGCGAAACTAGACGCCCTCAGGCCGACAGCGCCAGAGAAAAAGTGAGTGTGGAGCCGAAACAATCAGACAAAATCGAGAACATTTTGAATAAGCGCTCTTTTAGTGACTCACTGATGATTGAGATAGTCATAAATTATGTAAAATCTGCTAAAAGGTCAACTGTTTGGCCGTGCGTAAAATCCACTCTTTTACGCGCAGCTCTGTAATATGTTGTCTTTTTGATGTAAAACAAAGCTAATGTGTCAAAAACTACAGGTTTTAGCTGAACATATTTTATTGCATTCAAAATATGCTTCTGTATCTACAAACAATCTGCAAAGTCTGCCTAAGAGTGCATCTTTGTGTCGCGCGTAATTACAAATACCTGTGAAATAATGAGATCAAAATAAGACCAAATGGCGGCACATTTAATGATGGCATTCTGAGAAGCAGCGCGTGGGAACCTGAGAGCCACTTCTCCCCCAAACACTCTTTGTAATGATGTATCGATTCTAACAGGTAATAAAGTGTGAATAGAGCACACTGCCCAATTTTCCCATGAGAGAAAGTTGAGGGAGCGACTCCCACCTTTTGCCAAGATTACTGAAAGTTTGAAGATGTTGACAGTCTCCCACACTCAGTAAACACAACTAAATCAAGTCTGTTGTGGGATCAGTTACCAAGAGCTATATTTTACTATCGGTCTTTAGGTAGTACATTACATGTTAATACTGTAGTTCTCAAGGGACAACCGCGGCGCGCGTAAAAAGACTTTACGCGTAAAGTGGAACCTTTTACGCGCGGCTAATTGTGTTTAGTTACAGTACTACAACAAAACGACAAAACATTTTTTGACTCTTGTCATACCCTGTAGACTATTTTGAGTTCCACGTGTGCGAGTGGGAACCTGAGAAGCACCTCTCCTCCGAGCACACTTCATAAATGAAGTATCGGTTTTAACAGGTAATAAAGTGAGGATGCAGCCTCCTGCTCCACGTTCCCATGATGAGAAAGAGCTGGGGGACATTCTCCCACTGTCACACTTATTCGGCCTTTGTCTGCATGTTGTTGTGTCAGACGCCAAATGTGCATTGACGAAAGGAGATTTATTTATGTATATTTGTTGTTATTAGGTTTGGAGAACACGTGGCCATTTGCCTCATTCTCCCCGCAGAATCATAACAGTTTATCTTCAGGCACATTGCTTATGTACCCAGTCCGTTTTGCAGTGGTGGAAGAAGTACTTTACTCAAGTAAAACTACTACTAAAAAAACGTAAAAATACTGCATTAAAAGTAAATCCTTCATTTTTGGATGTTTCTCTAGAGTTTGCTCTTTTTTTTTTAAGTTTCCTGAACCAGTTATTTAATGAAATCAGATAAGTTTAGAGGTAGAATCTCTCTTTTGTGGAAATGCTATAACAACAACGAGGCAAAGGGTTCCAACCAGGTATTATTTTAGTTAAGAGGTCACAAGTTGAATGTTTTTTTATAAACTTATCATATGTGGGTTTTGTTTACAATGTACCTCAGTCTGTAAATGTCAAACAGTATAGACATAACGATTTCCCTCTGAAATGTAGTGAAGTATAGTCTAGTATAAGTACAAGTTCCCCTTAAAATGTTCTGAAGCAAATCTACTTAGTTACTCTCCACCACTGTCGTTTTGTCAGTTTGTTATTAGTTATTATTGTTATTAGTTCACTTTTTAGATGGAAAACAATACTTTTAGACCTCTGTGGTCAGTTTAAGATCAGCTTTTGCGGTTGATTTTAGAGATTCATTCTTATTTTCAGTCGATAAGGACTACCTTGGACTTAGTGTACACATTGCCTGCAGAAACAAACAGTGTCTTTGTTATTTGACCCTTTAAACTCTGAAACTAACTCAACCCAGTGAGACAGACACGCGCAGCAGCTCCAGCACCACGCGACCACTTCACACCTACACACGCGCCACCCGGGAAACGCTTAACACTTGACTGAATTCATGGTAAACACAATATGTGACAGACTTCAAGACTTCATTCATTCATATATATTTATTATATATACCAGAGGAACGCTCACTCGTCAGTTCGGTCGAGATATATTGTAGATAAACAATACATATTTTTGTATTGTTATCTTTCTATCTTTGTATGTTTTGCCGGAGAGTTTATCCTCCATAATATTGTTTGGCACGCGCCTAGGGCTTCATTTAGAAAGACACGATACAAATGTCCCAAATATCACTGAGATAAGTCACAAAGATAATAGAATAATCCAATAAGACGACCATAAAGCCACAAGCCAGTAGAGTGGTGCCTTCACTGACAGTCACAGTCAGCAGCAGTCCAGCTGGGCTTCAATCCAATTATTTACTCAACTCAGCAACGCGACTATTTAACACCTGGGCGCTATTTAAGTGCATTAAAATGAACTCTATGAGGGAATAATAACAGAGATCTGTGTTCACAAGAACCCACGACACAGTCTTTCTACAGGGGAGCATGGCCGTGTTTTCACAAATGCGGAATAGGCTTATGAATTTTGCCTTGAAACATTTTACTGAGTCAGTTCTCTTCAGTGAATTTGAGGGAAAGCTACAATTAGTTCAACGAATAGGTGTAAAATAATTAAAAGCCTGGTGCCTAATTTGCATTTGAGTGACCAGTGTGTGTGTACGTGTGTGTGTGGGAACGTGAAAGCACTCAACCCTCCACACACTTCATTTAATGGTGTACTAATTCTAACAGATAATAAAAGTGCAAATGGGCGCTTCGTTCTCTTTTTCCCATGAGAAAGAGCCAGAAAAGTTTCTCCCATGCTGTCTCACATTAGATCAGATTCACCCAAACAGTGTGTGAGTAAAGTAACTGCAACTGCTGGCAAATAAGTTCGAATAGAGTTAAAATAATAAATAAATGAACTTACAGTGTATCCATCACTATAGTTTATATTTATGTCAACATTTAACCAAGTAAACGAACTCCTCCATAAGTAAAGGTGACTGCGTTCTTGATTTTTTATTAACTGATTCCACTGCAGAGCCTATTGACAGGCAAACACATAATTTAACATATACAGCAGCAGTTGTAGTCTGCAGTTGTCATTCACTTAATTTCCTAATAAAATGTGTTTTTATGTCGGTTAAAAACTGTTTAAATATGACATCTTCTTGATAAAAAATAACTAATAATTTAAAATACAACAATCAGACAGGAGGACAAATGTCCTCTGAGTGTGACTGAACTTCAAAGAGCTGCAGGAGGTGTTAAGACACGTTTTGTTTCCTGCGAAGTGACACCGGACACGCGCAGAAAACGAATGGCCTGTCAGCAGGAGGCCATGTGGGTGAGAGAATGAATACTAATTACACTGAAAACAAACGGGGACATGAGCTGGGCGGGGGGTGGGGGGGGGGTAAGATCAGTCAGCTTCATCCTGTGAGGTACAGAGTATAAAGTTTTTTTTGACGTTTGTATTTACACCTAATAGAAACTTGAAGTACTTCATATTGGAAAAGCAGAGCAAATTAGTGCTGTGATACTATGGAGAAGTTTGACATGGACAGGATTACAGTAATTATATAAGAAATTATATTTTGAACCTGAAAGGACCAGACCAAGTTTGGTCAGACTTCTTTTAGAACAGAATAAATTGGTGGAAACACACTGTGTCAGGGCTATTTGCTGCAACTAAATCTGGATTGTTATATGATTTAATTTACTTATTTTAGGTTTTTTTAATGGTAGATCTTTGCAAATACTGCTCCAGGCTATATTATCTTTTTTATTCTTGGTTTAATCCAAAAAGGCTTTCAAACAGAGTGAATAATGTGTGAGCAGGGCTGTCTTTGATGTCTTTGAAGTGAGAACTGCTACTGAACTCTGTCACCTCATGTCCAGACTTCACACCTAGAGGATGTAGCTCTGCAGGACACCATGCTTCACACACGTCCGACTCAAAACTAAAAAAGAGCTGTCAATGCAAACAAAAGGCCTGTAGCTTGCATCTGATTCTGTTAAAAAAATAATTTGACACCATGCTTCATTTTAAATTTTTTTTAAAATGTTTTTATTTTTGTATAAAAAAAGAGTACCGCTCACCATAGGGAGACATTCATAATAAATTAGTGTGCAAAATAGACAAAATATATAAAATATAAAGACAATACATGTTATATTGTACATAGAGCCACAGATGTCATTAATGCTGAAATCATGGCCCACAGGTGAATGTGAGGGGCTCCACGGGGCTCTCCTGGCCTCGAACCCTGAGGTCCCACACCTGGAAATGTGATGAATGGACACTCAATCATTATCCACTTCAGTACCACACTTTTGAATCATGACAGCAGACGCAGAGGAGAGTTTTGAGCAGTATATGAAGGTGGACGGAAACTCTTTGGCTCCATGATACTCACCTCTAAACTTGCTCTTGAGCACAGCAGCAGTTCCAGCCGGACGGCTCAGCCTCAACCACATGATCCAGCTCACGTCTGTCCCAGTCTGGGTGAGTCCCTGTGCCTGTCAGCAGAATTGATGGCTGCCCAACTGACTGCGCTCATTCGAAACCATTAAACAATAGTAGTGAGTCAACCCTATCACACACACAGCACATGTACAAATGACATTTTTACATTATTTACAGGCTTTGAGGTGAATAGCAAACACTTTCATGCGTCATCAGAAGACTGGAGGCCATTGCTTGCAAGTCCATGTTCTTTCAGGAACAGTACAGTTGGCACTGGTGAATATGAATCAGTTGTTAGAGTCATTACAAATTCACTTTCAGAGTTGACTGTCTGATGATCAAGGCCAGGGCCTCCACACTGTCTGGCTAACTGGGTGGCTCTGGGACGGGCTCTGTTTGCCTGCTTGTCCCTCCACCCTGATCTCAAGCTCATTTTGTCTCTGAGGCTGTTGGGGTATTCTGGGAAACCCATGCTGGACTGGAAGTGGGTACGGATGAGCAAAACTGTTCACGCTGAAGGCTTGTGAATGCAGTCTGTGCTTGGACTTTTGCCTCAGCATCCGAAGAAGGGACTTTGTGTGCGGCAGAGAGCTGGAGGAGGACTGAGCTTCGGTTCTCCTTTGGACGCCTGCAGAGTCAGAGTCTGAACGGGAGAAGCGAGCAGCAAAAGATGCATCCAGCGCTGCTCCTAGCCACAGGCCTTTACCCTCGGGTCCCAGGAAATGAGCAGCTCTCTGCAGGCAGGTGGAGATGCCGTCTTGGAAGGAGTGTTTCTGGCCTCCACCTCCACCTCCACCACCTCCAGCTCTTGTGTTGTCTCCTTTGACAGTGTTCTGGAGGAAGAGGACTGTGTGCTCGAGTATCTCAGCTTTCTCCACTCTGTGCTGAGTCCCACCCTGCATGAAAACATCAGTATGAGTTAATGGAGCCGAACGGATGATGATGACATTTCCTTAGAAATATAGCTTGTTCAAATAACACTGTTTTTCTTTGATATTGTATATTTATGTAGTTACTGTATATCACATATTTCTATAAAGCAAGTGTTTGAGATGAGGCTATTATTTTTAGTGCTGTCTAAAAATAATGATAAATACATTTTTGAAATACTGAAACAAAGATGGAAAGTGTGCAAGTGCATTCAAATGTGTTTTTTACCAGTTGTTGTGGTTCCTGCAGCAACATGGTCCTCAGACACTCCAGGCTGCGGTTCATCCTTTCCCTTCTACGTTTCTCCACCTGAGATTTTATGAACTAGAGGAGAAAACAAAACAAATGTTGGAGGGATTGACCCAAATGTACAGGAGTGGGTGATTCAATTCCATTTCATTTACTTTGATTAAAACGTTTTCCTCTTTGCTTTACTGGGACAACACTATCATTTCAACCACCTTACAATCCAAGTGTAATCATCAAAATAGCAGTCGTTGTAAAAAACAATATGTAACACATTGATCAAGATTTAATTTACCTTTCTTTGGTTTGGTGCATCCTCCATGTCCTGTAACAGTTTCATTGTAGCCAGTGGTCTATCCTTATCCAGTGTTCCTTCACAGTCTGTAACTGATCAGGTACTGAGGATCGTGTCCCAGGGCTGCCCCTTTTACCTCCTCCCAGCCTGACTCCTCCTCCCACCCGACCAAATTTTACAATCCCAACCACCTCCCCCCTCTCACCCACGCACCACCTCCCCACGGCCCCTCGTTTTGTATTCACAGCAATGTATATAGCCTACTTTACATTTGATTAAACTAAGTTATCATATTATCCAACACCAGCCCGTCTTGAGGTTAAGCTACAAAAAACAAGACACGTGTGTATGAAAACTTACATATTACGCGAAAAACAGGTGCGTAAAAAGCCATTCCTAAAAAGAAATGCGTAATGAACATTCAGAATTTGGTATTTGACCTGAAAATATAGATAAATTCAGTTCAGATTTGCTATTCTGAAAATAAGAAAATCAAAAATCTTAACAAAGATAGTAAATTAGGACGATTTAAAAACATTTATAATCATAACAACTTTAGTTTTCACTGATATTCACTAAATGGTGAGTATTTAAAATGTTTTTGTCCTTATTATTGTTTATTTTTTGCACATTATTTTAATATTCCCTATTATATTCCAATAGGATTAGTTGTTTCCTTGTGACATCAGTCGCCTAATATGTTATAGGATTGGACAACGGAGAGACTTGGGTGCACTAAAGTCAGTACAGTTGCGCCATGCACCATTTGAGGTTGAAGGTTGATTTGAGGTTGCATGATGAAACTTCTGGTGCCAAAGTGAGAAACTGAAGCCTATTATTTTGTCAAAATCGCTCAACATCACTTTTGAGTGGTTATTTTTTAGCTTTTGTCTTTTTTCGTCCCTGTTCCCTGCCATCAACTGTGCGCTCACTTTCGGGCGAGTGCCGACACTTTGCCCTCACACTTGACGCCTTTGCATTTGTTAGTCAATCCGCAGGGTGAGGTGTAACAATGTTTAACATTTTGCATTCACACCTACTTGTCACAATAGACCACGCGTGCCATTTGGGCGAGTGTCTCGTGCTGGCGCGCCGTTTAGCGCCACGGTTGTTCCACATTTGGGTGCGGAAACCCTTTGATGCTCCCAGGCGACCGTGGGAAAGCCGAGTGGCAGCGACCACGCACACGTGTCAGCCTTTTGATTTAACATTATAGTTGCTGAACTGGAGCCCGATGGCCCCCAGGGGTCCTTTGCTGATGTAGATTAATTAACGGCTTGATTGCATTATAGCTGGGGCGCATGAGTATCCTACAGTATTTAACGCCACACGCAACACCCTATCTCAGCTTAATCTTTTGGTTAATTCAAAGAAAGGAGTTTTCTAACCCAGCGTCATAAAGTTGGTGATCAATTGCAGTATAGTATAATATTCATATAACTTTTTGGCATTAAAACCTATATTAGGTTAAGTTAAGTGATGCAAACCCACAAAAACGTCTCTGACCTCTAAAGTCTAGAGAATGAAATTACAATCCAAATTTGATATGGTAATAATGTCCATTATTTGTCAAAACTGTGAGAGGTTAGGGTTTGTGGTTGTTATAGTGGGGAGGATGGTATACATGTAGATATCTTTTTTGTTTTCCCAGGTTGAGAGAAATTGTCTTTAAGATTTCTGACTCTATCCCAGTACAATGGAGGTGAGTTGAACTTTGTTTGTGGTGCTCACACTTGTAATGAAATACAACATCTCTTTCCAGGAGCATGTCCACATTACATTGGGAATAACCTGTTAGGGTGGCTCCTACATACTTTATAGTTTATTTCATTAAACAGAACTTTTTTTCTTTATTACAAGTTTGAATTGTAGCCAGCTGTATGAGTTTTATATATGCTGCCATATTCTATTTTACAGAGCCATTAACATCCAGCCAAGGGCAACAAATAAAAATTGGCCTTTTCAATAAACTAATGAAATAAAAAGTAAATTAGAGAATTATGCATCACAGCAGTACAATATAAATTAAATGTTGAAATGAATGTGAAACTAAAATGTGGCACAGAACTGTTCCATCTGATGAGGCAGGAAAAAAAACTAGGCCATTACTGGAAATATACACTGCTATATTTCTACATTTTCAATGCAGTGAGCACCATAAATTAAACTCTGTTGGGGGAAAGAGAGGCAAAACCTCCAGTTTTTTCATCATGACCTCTCGACTCCACATAAATCTGCACCGATCACCATCTGGTTGTGAATACAGAGAGTCTTTATTGTAAAAGAGGTAGAGAGAATACAGGTGTTTCACTGTACAGAAAAAAGACAGCACTGTTGATATACTCATTCAAACCGTTAATGTGGACTCAGTCACTCTCCATTCATTGTACAGGGACACATAAGCCCGGTAGAAAAACAAACAAACAAACAAAACAGAGAAACAAACACACAAAATCTTTGGATTTTTCTCTATTGCCCTCTCATCCACTAAATGCATTCTCTCTTTCTGAGCAGTTAAAATGAAAATAGTTGTAGCACTAATAATAAAACAGCAATAATATTAATAATGATATAGTGTGCTAAAAACAATGATACTGCAGCCCCTCCCCCCTCCCACACCCAACCACAAACACACACACCTCAGTAACATGTCAAAAGTAGTGGAAAACAAACCCTACAACCCCGATAATAAAACCACACCTGCATGCACACAACACACACACACACATACATTTTCACTCTACCATCCGTGCCCTCAGCTACTCATAGAAACATAATAATGACCAACGCTGAGCGGTAAGAAAAGAAAACAGTGTACATTTAAAATAATCAAACCAAACAAACAACGTACAAAAACAACTGCAGCCAAGTGGGAAGTGTGAAATCATTCTTTCTGTCTTTTTCCGTCGTCAAACTTTCCGTTGCTGTCGTTCTGTGCCGGCGGGCAGGGCCCTCAGTCAGAGTTTTCCGAGTGGTCGCTGTGGGGTGAGGCGCCGGACGGGGGAGAGTTTCGACCATGCCAGTTCCCATTAGGCTGAGAAATCGAAAGAAAAACAACACAGGAACAAACAAGAGGTGTCAGAGGGCAACAAGTGACTCGTGTCTGCATTGTGTCATTTTTCATTGTGAGTTTAGCCCCTTAAACTACAAAGGTGTATTCCTACCAACTCTTAAGATCGCCATCTTAAGATGTTTTGGATAGATTTTCTATTTTATTTTATAGCTACTGTAACAGTTATGTGAAAATAAATCCCCAAACTCTTGAAAAAATTTTGAGATAATCCATCACGATTAACACCACATTTGGTAAGGTTTGGTCAAAGTTATGTTACATTTGGGGGTAATGCAGCTGTCAACTCTTTGGTGTGTTCGGGTGCTTATTGGAAACATTGAAGGTACTGATTAACAAGTCAGTTGTTCAGCAGCCACCTGTTCAGTCTTTGATGTTAGACTAAAAAACATTACATTATAATACTTAGATCACCAAAAACTGTAGAGCTTTAAAATCATTTTTCACTCAAAAATGTTGTGTTGTCAAATATGAGAAGCTTTTCCTTCTCTTGACATCACCTTGAGCTCCACAAGATTTTGACAAGCATTATTTACTGTTTTTTTCATGTTTTATAGTCCTAATGACTAATCCATGATGAAAATAATTATCAGGTGCAGCCCTGGTTGATAGTGATGTAAAATATCCATCATGGGAGTATTTGATAAAGTAAAGCTGAATAGCTGATGACATAAAACAGTTGGTATTTCTTTTAAGAATGAGGCTCGAGTTATTCTATATTAGGAAATCCCATGAAAAGACCAAAACCAACAATGTGTTAGTGTGCCTCTCTTCTACTGAGGATATTTCTTTTAAAGGAAAAGCAATTACCATTAACAGCTGGGTGCTATTTTTTTTTTTGCAAATGTTGCTCGAACAAGAGTAAATAGTGCATTTGTTGGGGATTATACACATTTGGTGTTGTAGTGAGTATTCACAGCACCATGTCGGTGTATGAGGGATTAACTCCAATTATACTATAGTGTGTGTGTGTGTGTGTGTGTGTGTGTGTGTTCCCCTCCCAGTGCAACAGTGTGGTTCACTGGTGTGTTTTTATTATTTGCTGGACAACAACAGAGCTCTATGACACTGAGGAATAAGATATATAACACTTGTTGCTGAATACATTTAATTGGTTTTGATGTTTTATGTGATTTGTGGACAGTTTCACCAGCCATATCACTTAAATATGTGTGTAACCATGCCCGAAGTGGTATAAAGTACCTGCATGCCCATTTGATAAGCAGACTGCTCGCCGTTCACAGGTGGAACCCCGAGGAACAAGTCAGCTGACCCAGACAAAGAGAAGGACCCAGACCCTAAAGAAAGAGGAGAGAGAACCTTAGTAGTTACCAGAAATAAACCTAGTTACATACAGACATGATTATGCTATTAATGGCATAATGGAATTCTATATTGTGTTATATTGCCTTTAAAATGTGAAGAATCAGGATGTGTTTCTGTATAAAACTTGAGGTAAAAGCTAATCCAAACAAGGCTGTGGCAGGAAACATGAGGCTTGCAACCAGAACACAACAGGCAGGTTACGGAAAAAACACAAATGTTGTAGACAAGTTCAAAAACGCGGAATTACTTTTGTGACTATAAATGATCCTTGTTTGCTATGTGCTTCCTCAATGCATGACAATGCCAAACGTTCGCTTTCCTCAGCCTCAGGTTATACTTTGTGTTCAGGTACACAGCTCAGACATTTGATTGACAAGTTATGGGACGGAAATACTGAGGCAGAAAAAGATGGCGCTAACAATATGTTTCACTGCCTCAAGATGAGCAGTCGCATACTGTAGCTTTCAACGTCTTTTGGTACCTGTGGAGTTTGGAGTGTGTGGGGAATCGTCGCCCTGTCTGGCCCCCAAAGCTGTCTTCATAGCATAAAGGTTGGCCTCTTCTTGGAACTTGCCAATGTTTTTCTTGTAGCGGATTCTCTTGTTGCCAAACCAGTTGGAGACCTGGCAGATTCAAACACACAGAAATT